CTGCTTCCAAGTTTCCTAGCATGAGCTCAGTTTCTGCACTGGAATTGACAGTGAAAATATCCCAGCAATTGTGCATCTTCTGAACACTCATAATACACCGTCTCCTTACCTCTCTGTTCTGGTCTTTAGTCACATCAGAGTCTGCTTCACAGTGCGTACACACCATTGTCTCCTCACCCGTCTCTTCAAAACTCTTGTAATTTGATATTCATTTCCACAAATAATAACAGACATTTACATGCCATGTCATGTATTTTGATACCACAGTCTACTTGTAGTCTGCACTGGTCACCCCAGCACCATGTGTTCCCCTCAAACTGAAGCCAAAATACAGCCTCTTCCCTGTGTTGCTAGTCAGGGATTTTGTCACCAGGGTGAGAAAAGTAGTTAATCACACTCTTGGTCGTGTTTTCCTAGTGGCTGTAGTTAAAGTAGATTCTCCATCTCCTCTCACTGCACAGACTGTCCCCAGGTCTTACACCTGGGATATCATTGTCCCTAGTTAGATCTCTTGCTGGAGAATCTGATCTCTTCCTTGTGCAGAGCCCAGGCAGATCCATATAAGACACAGCCCAGAACTCAGCAACTGTCAATCAATCCAACTCAGTCTAATCCACAGAGAAGCGCCTGCTCTCCTTATGGTCACCAGGGAAGCTGTCCGCAGGGACCTACACTCACCTCCATGGACCATTTCAAAGGATTATGCTGTCAAGGGTGGAAATGTGGAAAGCCACAGAAAGTTTGCATTCCTCCACTTCTGCAATGACCCCAGGTTTACCTTTGTAAGTTTCCTTCCTTTGTAGGGACTTGGGACTTGTGGAGAGCCCATCGGGACAATCTAGAAGCCAATTACCGAAATTCAGACAGATACTTCTCTGCTCGGGGCAACTTTGAGGCCCAACAAAGAGGAGCTGGGGGCGTCTGGGCTGCTAAAATAATCAGGTGATGGTGCTGCTGCGTCATGCCTCTCTCACTATTCCTGCCTGTGGCCTCTCCTGCTGTCTGTGCTTGCAGGGTCTGAGTGGTCTGGAGAGGAAGAAAGGGAGGGAAAGGATGGAGAGTGGGGATGGATCCTCACACAAAGAAAAAGTGAAGCCCAGGAAGGGCTCTCAAATGCATCTTGTCACAGGGTGTGGAAAGGACAAGCAGGCTGAGGTCCTTGCCCAAGAGGCTGATATTCCCTCTTCCCTGTGCCTAAGTTTTTACTCCTCCAGTATTTTCTGGGTCATTTTTTGGTAGGAGAGGAGGAGGGACCTTGGAGGTGGGACTGTCTCACTATGGAATTCATCTCCTGTCTCCCTTTCTTGGATTTCAGCACCAGCAGGAAATGCTTTCAGGGTCTCCTAAACCGGTATTATTTTGGAATGAAGGACCATGGATCGGAAAGCCTGGAATCTACCCGGAAAGCTGAGGAATGGGGTCACAGTGGCAAACACCCTGATCGCTTCAGACCCCAGGGCCTGCCTGGGAAGTTCTGAGCCTGCTACACAGGCTGCACTGAGGAGACTAGGCTGTGAGCCGCATCCTTCTCCCCTTGACAGGATGTCATTGGTGTCCACAGGAATCACAGAGTAGCTAGAGATGCCCAACAAATACTTTGTGGATGGTATTTGTTGATGGAAATGGGGAACTGTCAGAAATACGTTCTGGGAAGAGTTGCTGTGTATCACATAGAAGATAAGTAGAGGAGGAGCTGTAATCACCAGGCAGTCACCTGAAACCATGCAGGTCCCTCACACCACACCACCAAATCTGCTCTAGCTTTTGGCTGCACCAGCTTCCCCTGACAAGCAGGCCTGAGGTAGCAATGTGTTGCCAACCATGTCAGCCGTCTCCAGAAATGAAGTTTACCCTGAGATGTGCCCTGGTCAGCTGCCCATCGATTCCTCCTTGTTAAGATCAGATGTGTGTCCCTACCACAAGATCTTCTGGTCACACCAAGGCCTCTCTGTTGTGTTATTGTTGTTAGCAGGCTTTTCTGTGTAGTGATGTCACTCTGTTTTTCCATCATGCCATGGTCTCACTCAAGGCTTTCTCACCTATGTCCCCTTTTCATAGAGAGAAGAACATCACTCTGAGAAAGCCTTATCCTAACCTTAGGAA